TTCGGATAATGAGTAGAAAAGCTTTAAGTTGTTGGAATAAAAAATAAAGTCATTAAATTGTCACTTTTATTTAACAATCCAGAAATCGAACTCAAGAGTGAGTTATAGGTAGACGATTTATCGAAAAATCTGTTACAGTATTATAATGGTATAGAGAATTTGAAACTAGTCATCTAACCATAAAATTCAATGTCGAGAATCGATTCTTGATCAATTTGGAATGTAAAGGTCGACTCCGAAAATCGAATATTTTATGTGAAAAATTGATACTCGATAAGAATTAAGAAATCGATTCAGAATTCGCAGCATACTGACTTATTGAAGAAAAAATAGCAGTAGTAGTATACGTATTAGGTTTAAGTAAGATAGACTAGCGGATAGAAAAGTGAGGAATAGCATGCAGGGAAAAATATAAATTAAAACAGAGAAAGGAAGAAGGCGATACTATTGTTCGCGATTTAGTATAGCTAGTCATATTTGTAAGAAAGGTGTAGTCAAAACAACACAAAAATTAAATAAGTTACGAAACACATTTGCAATGATAAATTTTAAATGTTGCAAACAGACTTAAACAATTTGGTTGCATGGTGTGATAGAAATGATTTGCCATTGAATCTCAATAAAAGTAAGACGATGTACTTTTCCCGTAGATCTGTGCACCCCTCTTCTTACATAATAAAACACCATATTCTAGAGCAAGTTTTTAACTATGTTGATTTGGGAGTTAATATGGACCCTAACCTTAATTTCAGTTTTCATATTGATACCATGGTCTTGAAAGCAAAAGCTGTCCTCAGTTTTGTTAAACGTTGGTCTAAAGAATTTAGAGATCCGTATATTACTAAAACACTTTATACAACTTTGGTTAGACCTATATTGGAATATGGCTCTGTGGTATGGAACCCTAGCTACCAAATCCATTCTGACAAGTTAGAGTCGGTTCAAAAACAATTTTTACTTTTCGCCTTAGCGCATTTCCGATGGGATGCTAGGGTAAGTCTACCTCCATACACTAGTCGTTTAAAACTTATTAATCTACCTACACTTTCTAGTCGTAGGGAAATGCTTGGCATAATATTCTTAGTGAAACTTTTGAATGGAACTGTTTGCAGTTCTTTTCTCCTGTCTGAAATTAAATTTAATATCCCGGTTTGCCTTTCGAGACAGTTTAGACCTTTACTGCTAAAATTCTGTAGATCAAATTTTGAACTAAACGAGCCATTCCGCCGTATATGTCATGATTTTAATTCTCATTCCAGCACATTTGACTTATCTGACTCACTTTTCAATATTAAAAAGACTTTATTGTTTTCTCTTAATAAATGAAAATGTAACAATTGATTATATTGTAACTTTAGATCTTAGCTGTTGAAATTTTTGTTTCTGTAGCTGAGCAGTTTTAGATCTCAACACTTAAAAAACTCTCTTGCCTTTTCTGACTCGGCCAATTCCGCACGTATGCGGATTGCGCCCCTGGCGTCGGTTGGTCGGGAGGAGGGTAATCGTTGGGTTATTATTATTATTGCCACACAGCTCACGTAGAATATATTTAACACGTTTCTTCCAAAAAAAAGAATATTTTTATATTAATATGTACAAAAATTGGCTTGATCCATCTCATCTATTACACTGTATGTGACGAAGGAAAATTTAAAAAGAGTTTTCGTAAAGCAAATATTATTGTATAATTTCGATTGCAGTATTACTGAATTTTTCGTCGTTGACAGAATTTTAAATACAACGGTTATATTTACATACAAGTATTATAAACAACTGTTTGGAACCGTCGGTAGTAGAATACTTGAATATACTTGTATATATCTTACACAAATATGATTTTATTTTTTAGTATTATTCGCAAGTCTACAAACTCCTTCGTATTTATTAACATTTTAGCCACGATCTACTTTAATTTTAGAAAAAAATTACGGTATCTGACCGCTGCTGTATTAAAAACAAAATTAAGTCAGGAGTGTACTTCTGGAAACCAACCAATACTTTTGTATTTCGCTATAACCGTTATTCCGAATGATTACTGCACATTCCCTGCAAAAAATTGTGCGAGTGATCTTTAAAAAGAGTATTGCCGGATACATCTATTCTCTGAAGGTTATAATTTGGAATGAATTTGAATATACCTTTAGGATAGTATTAGGTAGTAATTAATCCCAAACAAATATATTTTGGGTATAGTTAGAGATAAATGCGTTGGGTCTTTCATGCACTCTTTTGTCGCTCATTAACGGCAAATTCTCTTTTGGCGTCGCTCAGTGCGTTCAGACGAGCGGCACGAGTTCAGGAACTCGCGTTGAGTTTTTCTGTTATTCCTTTTCATAAGTAACATAAATTTTTTTCTGTTAAAAGAAATGAATATGTGTGAACGGGCATTTGCTTACATTTCTATTCAGTGTTACCATACACAAGAATTTACCCTTTTATGTATATAGCTGTTAACGAATAAAAGCGAGAATTTTATGTTTTATATACCATTTAAATATACAATTCAAAAATACTTAATAAATTAAAATAAAATTTAATATACATTAAAAACCTAACATAGGGATTTACTTAAAAAATTGCATTTCTTTAAACCGAGGGAAACTTTGAACCTAGTTGACAACACTGTTTCCATAGTTCTGTTATATTCCGTGATTTGAAATCGAAAAATCAAGCGTATGTGTACTGCAAGTGAGATTGTGAGAATTAAATTGATTTTTAAATAAAAAAAGAGATTCGGAAAGAGTACAACAAGATTTCACAGTGAAACCAAAGAGGAGAAATATAAAAATGAGCAATGTAAGTAAATGACATTTTAGAAGAATAATAAAAAAAGAAAGAGAAACTACGTTTAATGCTCCAAACAGTCACCGGCGCGAAACCGTAGACCGAATCAGCTGATACGACCTTTCTTATAAGAGCAATGTAAATAAACACTCACCACCGCTTTTACAGACCGTACGGTAGGATATCCTTGAAAATTGTATTTAAAAATAAACTTGAATATATATATTTGAAATATTCTTAAAATAACTCAAAAGCACAGTGGAATACATATATTAATAAATAGGTACTCTATTTTTAATAGTTGGATTTTAGTTTTGAGCCCTTAGGGGCCGTCCATAAATTACGTCATCGATTTTTTCAGATTTTAGACCCCCCCCTATAATCATCCTATCGTCATTTCTTAAAGACACCGTTTTTACCGACTGACTACCGAAAATGATGATATATGCGATAAATGAGGTGGCGAGACAATTGAGAATGTAGAGCGTACGTTGTTCCATTGTCCGCAATACGAGCAAGAGAGACGATTCCGCAAGAGTGTCTTCGGTATAGACCCAATCCCCGAAAACTTAGTTGACCAAATGGTGGAATCAAAAGCTAAATGGGATGCGGTGTGCGAAATAGTCGCCAAAATCATGAAAACCCAAAGAGCCCGAAAGCAGCAGCGGAGAAGAGAACTCCAAAACTTAACGGACCACTACAACGCGGACCAAACAAACGCATTAAGACAAAAGTAAAAAAAGCATAAGGGAAGGGTTTGACGACAAACATTGCACGGGGCGGGTTTAATACCAACAGAGGTGGGGCCAAGTAAATGCAACTTGTTACTGAATGCATTGAGACTACTACAAACGTATGAGCACTCAACTCAACCATCCTCCCGACGGAATTCTTGACGGTGGAACGGGGGGAAAGGTACATGACGGTAGGAGGTTTAGTTGGATTAAAGTTCCACACTGACGTGGGGTTCAGGCTTTCGATGCTTCCTCCTCGTAAAAAAAAAACATATGTGCGTATGACATTGCCGAACAAATAATGCATACACAAACCTACGTACATATATGCGTACAAATTTAAATACGTCACCCGCAAAAATTACAAACACTGTTCTACAAAAACAACAATCGTCTCAAGTAACATAAGCAGCACACACACATGTCAATATGGCAGCCAAATTGCTGTAGCCCAAATTTATAGCAAATCACACAACAACAACATTTTCATTCATGAACGCAGGCGTACTCTTAACAAGCGAAGTTGACTCATTAAATAATCATAAAAGTAAACGCCACTACACATCTTCCCGAACATGCGTTTGCCCACAAGCATTTTTTCGCGACGATGGCAAAAGCTAAAAAGCATAAATTGAACAACTTTCTGATGCTCTTTCTGGAAGGTCAACCTGGCAAACACAGAAAAAAGTGACAAAAATGGCACATAGCTCTTGTCCATTTAAAATATTTTACAATTCTAAAATATTTTTACATGGCTCGCAAAAATCTGCGTCAATATGTATGCATGTTCATACATAAACATACATATTTACGATGGTTTATTGGCAAAGCTTTTAGAGCGGCAAGGGAAGCGGTGACAATCGGCGATCGTTCGTTTGTTGTTTTCGACACAGCTCGGATTTTCTACCAACAACACAATGTTGTGACGCTTTATCGTCGCGTCAGTTCTTCGACACATTGATTCTTTGACATGAAAGCAAAAAAAGTGAGATTTCGCATGAAGCAATTAGAAGGTGCTTTCCAAAGTCAACAGTAAAAAAGTAACAGAGTAAACTCTAGTGGCGCCATCTATATGTCTAGTGCGCTAGAATCTGCTATCCTTTATCGATTTCCAGTAAAAATTTCATGACATTTCATCTATTAGAAGTGAAATTATTGCATTTTAAGTGTCAGTATGTTTTTGTCATCGGTGCGAAAATGAGCTTCGAACAAAGAGCCAAGATTAAATATTGTTTTAAAATGGGTAAAATTTTTACCGAAACGTTTCAATTGATGAAACAAGTTTATGGCGATGATTGCCTATCCCGTAGCAGAGTGCACGAGTGGTTTCAACGTTTTCAAAGTGGTCGTAAAGACATAAATGAGAAATGAGCCGAAACCCAAAAAATCGCGCCTGGAGAAGTCAAAAGTGAAGATAATGCTGATTTGATTTTATGATTCCAAGGGTATTGTCCACAAAGAATTTGTTCCACCCGGATATACAAACAGTATGCGTTCTTTAATATTTGTTTATGCCTAAGCCACACATATGGTTTCCGTACTTCAATGTGTACTACAATAAAATTATGCACATATGGTATTTTAGAAGTTTGACACTCATCAGCTGATGCAAAAAAATTTAAATCAAATAAAAGAAAATAAACATGGACACGGAAAAATGGATCCAATCTTAGTTAACTGCAAACAAAATTAAAATATTAAATTATATGAGGAAGAAAATTAAATATTTAAAATTAGCAATGTTGGCTTTGAAAAGGAGCAAATTATACAAAAGGATTGCCTTAAAAAAGAGGAATTTGAAACGACACCGGACCTACTGGTATTTGGTAAGTACGCAGAGACTTGTTTTCAATGTATAAATAATTTTTGAATTCCTAGGTGAAACGCACAAAATTTTGGGAAAGTGATGTTGGACAGCCGGGAGACTTTCTTCTATTTAGTAGATCTACTAAAAAATGTGCGCAAAAATAACACCTTCTACCTTTACAAAAACGAATTGCTGTAGCTCTGTATGCATTAGCTTCTTCTGCTGAGTATAGAACGATTGGAAGTCTCTTTGGAGTGGGACGCTCTACGGTAGGGCAGAGACGTTTGTAAGGAAATATACGAAGTGTACCAAAACAAAGTGTTTGATGCATATCCTCCAACGGACACGAAAGTCGACGAATTAAGACGTAGTTTTAATCGTTTGGGATTCCCCCAATGTTATGGCGCCATAGATGGTTGCCACATAGAAGTCAAGCCTCCAAAGAACGAAGCCTGCGATTATTTTAATTTTAAAGGACGGTATTCAACGGTTTTATTTGCATCGGTAGATTATAGATGCAGATTTACATATATTAATGTTGGGATACCAGGGTGAAGTAATGACTCCACCATATTTGAACAATCGGGTTTAAAAAAATGTCATTGCGATAGTGAGGAATTTAAAAGCCACACAACCGTGATTGGAGATATTGAGGTGCCCATACTCCTCATTGGAGATTCAGCTTTTAAATTATCAGAAATTGTAATGAAACCATTTCCATTTTCAACCGAACAACCGAAAGTGAAAAAGAATTCAATAAACGTATTTCATTGGTTCGACGGGTGGTAGAAAACGCTTTTCGACATTTAAAGGCCCGCTTTAGACGCATTGGTCGAGGTAAGAAAGTTCCACTATTGATAATTTATAATTGATATAATTGATACTATAAAAATAAACAAAAACAGGTCTGGAAGTCAGTATAAAAAACGTTAACATAATTATAAAGGCTTGTTGCGTTTTACATAATATATGCAACAACAGAAATGACAACATTAATCAGAAATGGATTGAACAATTAATCACCGAAAATAGCGCAAGGCAGCCTCGATGGAGCCATGCAGATAGAAATGACTGCAGCAGTGGAATAGCCATCAGACAAGCAATTATGACATCTTATTTACAAAATGTGTATTCTTAACATTTTCATTCACAGAATCAACACATTTAAGTTATTTGGTTTAGTATTTTAGTTAATATATGGTTATTATATTCTAATATATATCTAATATATTACATTACAGTACGACATATTTTTCACACATTTGATATTCTTAAAATTTGTTTCTCTCTCGTTAAGTATTTTTATTTAATATAGCCAAAAGAATGGTGTTGGTTTGTTCCATTAAATCAAGAGCCTTCTCTTCGTTTTTAATAGATTTATTAAGATATTCTTCCATTATCTTTTGTTCCTTTTAAGCGAGTTCGAGGAAGTCTTCATCATTGTTTCTCTTTCTCTTTTTTGCAGACGATGAAGTTGATGGTATCTTTTCTATTTCATCATCATTTGCCAACGTGTCCCCCAAAACGTCCAATGAAACGGAATCTGTGGAATAAGAAGTTTTTAATCATATGTTTATATGTACATACATACATGTATTTGTTTCATTTGATATATGTATGTATGTACACATGTGCATACTTATATAAATTAATAAATAAATCAATGTAAAAAAAACCTTTGTCAATGCTCTCTTCCTCCAGTTCTTGAGTGAAATTGGATTTGTAGCCGCCTATTATTTTGTGAACGTCTTCGTAGTATTCCCAATTCGATGGAGCACTTCCACTTGGGCCAATCATCTTCATTTCCTGCCTAATATATTTCATTAATACAAATGGTACTATTTTGTGAAATTGTTGACAAACCTGTACTTCTTTGCCAAATTGTTTATGCGATTTCGCAGTTCGTCCGTTGCAAGCAAAACTCCATGTTTATTTTCCAGCTGCGTGTTAATTTTAGCATAAATATGGCTATTTTTATGCATTCCATGCAACTGTTGGTTATATTGGGCCCACACCTCAATTATTTTTTTAATGGTTACGTATCCAACGTACTTTTTTCTTTTCTTTTCCATTGTTATTTTTTCCTTTTCAAGTTTGAATTGAAACTCTTTTTGATCAATGTCAAAATGGCTGAAAACATACATATGATTATGACAGAAGAGCTTAAAGCTCTGGATGTGTTCAGTGTAATCCATCGTAGTACATTGCACAACACCACATAATTTCTATGGTTTCTTAAACACCATTGTAGTACAGACCATTGTAGTACAGTAAGCAAATGGAGTGCTTTGGAACAAAAATTGAAAATACGGTTGACACACATATGGTTTCTGTACCATACTACAATATGTACTATATGTGTGTCTCTGGCATTAGAGGCACACATAATTATATACATATATTTATGCTTATGAGCATATTTGCGACCGCTTGGTCTTTTCAGATGTTATCAAAGCTTTTAATGGCCAAAGCTGTGATACCAAATATATATAATTCCCTTCGATCGTCAGAGCAGTCGAGGTCAATATGGCGGCGCTTATAGTTCGTATCAGCTGACCGTGTAGTGTATAGACTATAGATTATTCAATCTGTGTGGATGGGCGGTATAGCACATGCGTGATCAATATAGTCAATTTTAAACTATAGTTTTGAACCGTGGTAGCTTTCGGTCATATTACTCCCGCTTCAATTATTCAAACACGTGCTTCAAGTAAACACCTCTCTTGTATCTGTCATTAACATTTTCGAATATATTATTATTTTATTGAGTACACTTCATACTACAGACTGTTTTACCCATTTATGCCAGTGCTCCACATTATTTTGTTTAGTGTTATCAGTGTTTAATGTAAATAGTGTTATTTTTTTGATGTTGGTAAACAACGACAATCCTAGTGAGACCGAAAAACTGGTTAGTGCACTGGGACTCAAAAGAGTCTCAAACCAGTTTATTGTGGGCGAGGGGACGACGAGGAAAGACGAAGGGACCGTGCCACTTGTATTCGGGTGGCACGCTTTGTGTTCTTGTTCGTAACAGCTCGCTTCTACCCTTTTCAGCATTCCTTTTCACTTTCAAATTCTTTGAATGGTTGCAAGAGCGCTCGGTTTCAAATGAATTCGATCGCAAATTTGAGTTCTGTTATCTATTTTTGTATGTAATATGCAAATATGTATGCATAGAACAATAGAAATATTTTGAAAAATTGTAAATAAGGAGAAAATTAAGATATAGATTATGGAGTAAAGAAATTATGAATGTTTAATGCGGAGTAATGAAATTATGAATTTTTAATAATTAAAGATTAGGAAATTTCTGTTATAAATTTGGCCTTGAAAATATTAGTAGCGGATATTCAATACATTCTTGTGGATTAGGGAATTCCCGTCTTTAGTATTTCTTTGAAACTATTTAGCGGGTAGGTACTTGTATTATGCATGTTGTTCTACCATATTCATGACATGAGACACTATGACAGTGATACAAAAACAAGTGGAGATACAAGTACAATTCGAGAATCAGTTGTTAATCCAGATGAACACTAGTGTTTCTGCAAACGTACGTTATTGGCGGTACCTAGAAAAACTCAACGCACGAAGAGCTAACGCAGAAGAAAATCCTTCATCGGTCTATACATCATATGTGAGACAATCATCTCATGATCTTTTTAAAACCTTAGTTGAGGATAACCCATTTGGTTTTGCGTGCACTGTTTGTGATAGACTATGGTTCAAAAATGATTTGAAATCTCCACCATTGTCGTGCTGGGAAATTTTACAATAAATATGCAACGCCTTCGTGTTGGAAGACATTTTTGTGTGTGCGACCTGTAGAACTTCGTTAAATGCTGAAAAAATACCAAACTTGGCTGTGTACAATGGATTTAAGTATCCGCCTAAGCCCAATCTTCCTGAATTGGATTTAGTGTCCGAGCGATTAATATCACCGAGATTACCCTTATGCAAATTCGACGGCTAAGATACGTACTAGGTCAATATGGAATCACTGGACAAGTAATAAATGTGCCCGTTAACGTTGATAACATGGTTCAAACTCTGATTTGAAATATAGATGATGATTACTGTATAAATGAACACATAAAAAAACGATTAATGCACATATCTAGTTATTTTCACGGATTGGTGGAAAAAGGGATTGTTAAAGACTGGCTCAGTTATCTTGTAGCTACTCTACCTTATAAGCATTATAACATTAAAATTAGTCAAAATTACTTGGGCGAGTTAACCGATGAGAGTGAAAATCCAGTTGTTTCAGACCATATAGGTGAACCAATCGAAATTCAAGATAGTCTAGTTGCTGAACAGCATACTCGTTTATGGTCGGAGGATAAATATTTACAAATTGTACCGGGAGAGAATAAAAGACCTATAAAGTTGTTGTTTGACTCTGTTAGATTTAAATTTGGTTGAAATGACAAGACATATGAGTGTTAATATTTTAAATACAATAGAAATGTCCAGTCAAGAAGCTGCATGGTTTCTTCTTAAGGAACCGATGTCTAAATCAACGCTTAAGGTTGAGTTTATACCTACGATGTGGCCTCAGGAACGTCATCGTATTCGAAAAACAGAGAAAGAATTAGAAAGACTTACTGATAACGATACCAATATTTGAAAAGCAAATTGTTTCGATAAATAGAAGATATTCCCTTGATCCAGTTTGGTGCTTGGTATGCAGTCAAAACTGGTTTTGGATGGATTCAATCAAATTTATGAAGATAACGAACAACTGATTTTAGCTCGTCGTAAAGAGTTCGAAGCAAATTTAGATATTGACATAATTATTGAAGCATACAGAAAATTATGTCACTCTGAAGAAAATGAGGAAGACCGTGGTATTTTGCCGCTTATACAATATGATGCAAATCTATTTATTGAGTTTTATAACAATCCAGACTCAGGGTTTAAGTCAAGTTTAATGAGGATCTTTTTGTGGCAAGCATAGACTTGGACCAATTTCCCGGAAGAAAAATTTGATAGATAAGACAGTCTTTTATGAGTTAATTCGACGAGCGATCACTCGTCAAATATCATTACTCAATTACATGATTAATCATCTGCATACGCCCAGTCGTCCACCAATGCAAGTATTTTTAACTGGACCTGCTGGTAGTGGAAAAAGTAATACCCTTTTAATGGTCAAAGTAATCTACAACCGTTTTACAGATAACTGTGGAACTCTCAATGCATATATTGTTGCAGCATCAACTGGTAAGGCTGCAGTGGCAATCGATGGAACTACAATTCACACCGCATTGAGTATTTCAACCGAAGGACTGAACGCACTCAGCACTGAAAAAGCTAATTTGTATCGATCACTATTTCGGTATGTAAAAATTCTAATCATAGATGAGTGTAGTATGATCGGCGCAGAAATGCTTATCAAAATAGACGAGAGATTGAAACAAATCACAGGCAATTACGGTAGCTTAGATACTCTTATGATTGGTGACTTGCGACAATTTCCACCTGTACGCGCTACTGCAATTTACAAGCAACCAAAACAAAGTATCGCAGGGCCCAAAAACTACAATTTTATCCGTTACATGAGGTTATGCGTCAAGAGCATCAAGTGTTTTCGTCTATTTTAACAAAAATTGGTAGTGGATCACATTTAAGTTTAGAGGAAACAAATATTATCGAATCAAGGATGTTTACTGAAGACGAAGCTAAACGAATGTGTCCATTAGGAATACGATTATTTTAGGAAAGTTGAAAATTATAACAATTCAATCCTATCGACGTATGATGAAAAATACGAGTCAATTGCTGAGGACATAATTATGAACTGTGATGACCCGGTACTTGCTCAGAAATATTTAGATGCATTTGCACAACAAACACCCGTTGATGCTGCCTCATAAAATAATTTTTGTTTATGATTTACCGTACGTCATAACAAAAAATATTGACGTTTCAGATCGAATCGCTAACGGTAATGTAGGGAAATTGATCAAGATGTATCAATTTGACAATACTTCATTAATAAGCGTATGTTTACTGTTCCCGGACAAGAATGTGGAGAAAAAATCCGACAAAAATTTGCTCATCGCATCGAGGAATTAAATATTAATAGATACTCTGTGCCAATCAAGTTATTATCAACTTTATCACCAATGAACGTTCGTCAACGTAATACTGCAATAAAACGAACACATTTACCATTATCAGCTTTCAATGCATCAACGATTCATTAAGCGCAAGGGGAACGTATAGTGAAGTTGTTTATCATTACGAAAAAAGTCATGCTCAAGATTTAGTTTACGTAGCTCTTAGCCGCGTATTTCTGCAAGTCTGACAAAACACACTTGTTTTATGTAAAATATACATTGAAAAATTTACCATAAAATATTGGTTACATTTATAAACTGTGAAACTCAGGATGAAGATGGTATTGACAATAGAATAATTGACAATAATTGAAAATAGATCAAATTGACTTAACGACAGTAATTAATATTGTTTTCAGTTCTTTAATGTTTGTATATCATCTAAATAAATGTTAAGAATTGTAAGAGTATCCTAAAACACAGAGTTGAATAAAAAAGTATTACTCGGAAACCTAATCTGCTTGTATCATTTTCCATTACCATTCCGATTTTCCAAAACTAAATTGAAAATGATCATGCGATTTCAATACCGTTAATAGAATATTATTCCACAAATTATGAAGTTAATGTCTACGATATGAAAATAAGTTTCACTTTTACCGTGGTTTAATAAAACCACACAATAGTTTTTTCAGGCGGAGTTGTCACCAGATTTCACCCATTGTCACACTGTCGATAGAAAAACATTTTTTCTCAGTGAATTTTGTTATTATTGCTTTAGCGGCTTAGGAGATATGCACATTAAACCTATTAGGGGCGGGACCACGCCCACAAAAAAAAATTTAGTTACAGATGCCCCTCCTTAATGTGATCCTGTGTACCTAATAACAGTCCTAACTATCTTATTGCGGAGCTTAGTTATACCAATTTATTTGGTTTTGATTAATAGCGTTTTGTGGGCGTGGCAGTGACCCGATTACGCCCATCTGCAATACCAACCGCCTTACGGTACCAAGCTAAGATTGACGGAGAGCTTCTTACAGAAAACTCTCCCTCTAACCTTCCCTTTTAGCTTCAAACAATCTGTGAAAAATCTCACTACGGCTTTTCTCCAGCGACTTCTCCCCATTCACATATCTCTTGTCGGTATGTGAGCAGAGAAGAAGTGACGCAGTGATCCAATTTTTCAGGGATGCAGTTGAATGAGAAGAGAATTTCGACGTGTCCTCGTCCGGACCCCTTCATATACCTAGCTTTACGGAGCCTTGGAGCACACTTTGCAGTCATACATCTACCGGCAATGTGTACGGGTGCTATGTTTCAAATGACATTAGGTGCTATTGTTGGTATAGTCTATAGTGACCCGGAGATGCCGATGGTAGCCGCTCTTTGGACGCGCTTTAGCTTTTAAGCAAGGGTAGCCTTTTCGAACGCCCTTCACCAGACGAATACGCCATAGAAAATTATTGGATTGACTATGGTTTCGTAGAGCCAAAGAGAGTCCTCACCTTTTCTTTATAGCCTCTCTGCAGCAATATAAGGCAACCGATGCCTTTCTTACTCTCCTCCTCAATATTTGGCCTCCAAGAAAGGTTTCTATCGAGGTTTAGCCTTAGGCATTTCACCACCAAAAGAGGGGAGAGGCACGTTTGGGATCTTATACCTATATAATAAAATCATTTCAGTTTTACTTGGGTTGACGGCCCGCTTCTATTCGCCCATTGAGGTACCCATCGGTTACCTCGAAGACGGTATTTAGGAATTTTCCTTTAACCATAAGAAGAACATCGTCAGCGTAGGCTATTACCCGATAGCCTCGTTACTCGAGTTCTTTAAGTAGGTTGTTAACCTCCAAGATCCAAAGCAGTGGGAAAAGTGGGAAAGAGATGCTTGAGGTTTTATTCAATCTTTTCAAATGCTTTAACCACAGACTATGGCCGCACATTGTTGAGGCCTTCGACACATGGCCTAATCTAACGCAGTTCGCGTAGATGGGGGCCAGCCAGTTGCATGACACAATGACCGTACGCTGCAGTTGTGCCGGTATGCTGCCATCAGGGCCTAGGGACTTGAAGATTTTTAATGAACTCAGCGCCCAGGTATGGTAAGGCAAGATCCAAGAAGGCTGTACAGGCTCTTGCGATCGCTGCCCGTTGATCGCAGGTTGGTAGTCGTTTAACCCGCTTCTTCAACACTTCCGTCGCTCAGCATCCTTTTAACCTACTCAAGTGTGCTAGTATGCTGCTCAGATTCTTGCTCAGCCTGCTTGCCTCCGTAGCGCTCCAAAATCTTGGCTGTCAACTGACGGTATGACTTCAGCTTTTTAGCTGTCGTCACTTGCTTTCTCACAGGGTCCTTAGCCTTCGCAGAGGTTTCTCTACTAATGCTGGTGATTCCGCTTCGCACTTTCGCCCTAGCTTTAGTTTTTGTCGGCAGATTACCATCGACTCTCCTTGACCTACCGCCCCTAGCGACGGTAAGCCATGCACCACACTTTTTGGAGGACGATTTCGTTTTCCTAGGTGGTGGTGTCCCTCCCGAACTACTTTCTCCCTCAACTTACACCTACCACACTAACTTAATGATGACGGAAGGGGAACGTAGTCCGTACTTAGGCCACATAATACCACGACCACCAGCCTAGGTTCTACAATACAATAAATTTCTTTTAGCCTTAGATTAGTAAGCTGTACTGATTTTTACAGTTCAATATTAGCAGTTTACTTCTTATGTCGAAATTTATTGTTTCCAAAAATATAGCCTGGTAAATAATTTGAATTTATACGTATTTTTAATAATATTAAAATATTTCATCTAACCGATAATGTTTAGCAACCAAAACAGCTGGAATGTGCAGGGAGTGAACATTTTTCACTTTCTTACATATTATATTTGGGTTAGGTGCCATTATATATAAATATAGTGTTTGTAATATGGCTATAACTATGTTGTCTATGTCAGTATGTAAATAAATCACTCATTTGAAAATCTCATTTAAGTATTTGTTTGCTAGAATCACCACAGCCGTTCTAAATTAGTACGTTGGAGAGTCTAAAATGTTAGTTCTCAATTTTTGTCATATGATCTGTTTTTTTACAAATACATTCCATTTACTAAGAAATCTGCCTCATGTGAATAAGGCGCCTTTCCGCCCATGCGACGTGTGCGCCGACCGACTGTACGCATGCGGCAACCAATTAGTATGGCCAGAGCTGCTGTAACAAGTAAACCAAGCGTTAAAGAGAGCATAGCACCACCCGGTCGCTCAGACTGGCCGTCATGATCTCGAAATTCGAAACCAAGATTGTCATGTATTAATTTATATTGTTCGTGAACGGGCGAGGGGACAAGAACGCGTTGTTTTTGCTCCTCAAGAGCTAATTCTATTGGATCCAGCTGACTTTTAACCTTTTCACTTTTCGGAAGGTTGGCCTGCTTAAAATATTCTTGCTTCTGAAATTAAAATGAAACAATCAAATATATATCCATAAACATAAACTCTTCGGGAAAGTTTATCGCCATATTAGTCAGCTTCTGAGTTCTCAAATTGCTGACTTACCTTTTTTGGTGGATATGTTGACATTTCTTCCTCCTTGTAATCATTATTTTGCTCTTTAACTTTGTCGTTAGTGGCTGATGTTTGTATAGTGTTAGATTTACGTTCTCCTGATACAGATTTCGAAACAACCGGTGACCCATTCGGTAAAGCCACAGGTTCCACCGACTGCTGTTGAGAACCAATAATTTCTGTTTTGTGTTGTACCAACGATACTACTGCGGGAGCATTTAGGTATCCTACAGATTGTTCAGAGTCTTCTTTGACTGGTGCCAGAATTGCTTGTTGTTGTTGATCGACTAAGTTCACATTGTATGATGGTCCTGGCTGCAATGGTAATGGCATTGCTTGTTGATGTTGTGGTATGGGCGTCTGCGGCGTAAGCGCCATTTGCTTTGACTGTTGAATTTGCCACTGCATGTTCGACGGCATCATGGCTACTACGCAAAGTTTTAACGTGTTAATTTGAAATATTTATCTGTATTAAAGTGTATGCATACTACATATAAAAATCATTATTATAACAATAAAGTTCACAAAATGAGGTAATTACTCAGTAATCAACAGAATATATTTAAATAACCTACTCTCTCCTATCTGTTCGAATTCGGAACGATCTATAAATTTACAAATTCGTGGCAATTTGGTGCTTGGTGTACAAAGTGGATTGGTTTGGTTTGGTTGTTTATCTAGAGTATTTGCTTTCCAGAGGAATAAACGTTGTTTAGAAAAAGAAAATATTGAATATTGATGGTAGTTAAATATTTAAAAGGTATATCTAGTTTGAAACCTCGTTATATCTAATTCCATGACTATAATAAATGAAAATAAAAGTAAGCAACAGGTGGCAATGGATGTCCATAAACATCACTCCTGTTCGTAAATTACTTACGGAAACTTAATTGTTACTCTAAAATAAGGTATGCAGATATTATTGTACAATAGATACTAATACATACCAATTGGCACGACATATTGTTGTTGAGGTGGAATTTGCTGTTGTTGTTGCTGTTGCTGTAGGTATATATCGCCGGGTGCCAAATCTGTTAATTGGGATACGTAAATACCGTTACGCTGCAAAGTTACTGTATTATAAGCTGGATTCAAATTGATGTTTGGATTGTTGTTTGCATTTGTATTAGCATAACTGTTTGTCTGCCCACTATTGGGACTATTGTTGGCATTTACACCTGTTGTCGGCACTTGTATTCCACCTTTGTGGCTGAAGATGCGATTTTTCATATCTAATCAGCATACAAATTATACATAGATAACAATTTTACATTAACAGATCAGATATATTGATAATTTCACAGCTTGGTAAAACTATGATGCATATGAATATATAGCGTTATGAATATAAAACACTACGTATATAAGCTTTGACAATTTTATTTAAGTAAATATTTATACATAATCAAGGTGCTCATAGTACCCACACTCAACAACATCTCCTTACTATATGTACTTATATAGTATGTACTCGGCACACCAAACGCTTCAAAACTCCAAGGTAGAATACCGCATTAACGTTTTGGCCGGGTGGAACAAATTCTTTGTGGACAATACCCTTGGAATCATAAAAACAAATCAGCATTATCTTCACTTTTGACTTCTCCAGGCGCGATTTTTTGGGTTTGGGCTCATTTCTCATTTATGTCCTCACGACCACTTTGAAAACGTTGAAACCACTCGTGCACTCTGCTACCGGATAGGCAATCATCGCCATAAACTTGTTTCATCAATTGAAACGTTTCGGTAAAAATTTTACCAATTTTAAAACAATATTTAATGTTGGCTCTTTGTTCGAAGCTCATTTTCGCACCGATGACAAAAACATACTAACACTTAAAACGCAATAACTTCACTTCCAATAGATGAAATGTCATGAAATTTTTACTGGAAATCGATAAAGGATAGCAGATTTTAGCGCACTAGACATATAGATGGCGCCAGTAGAGTTTACTTTGTTACTTTTTTACTGTTTACTTTGGAACGCACCTTGTATGTAACTGCATGACGTCTGCGTTATGCAATACAGTTTTTTATTAGATGTTCACAATAGTTCTCACAGTTATGATCAGGGATGGACACGACCCCAACCAAATGACCGACGTGCTGCCCTTCCGTACTTACCGCCCGTATCAAACAAAATTTGTCAAAAGTTATGCCCGAACCGGGGATCCAGTGTGATAACGCTCTAAAATTAGCGTTTTTTATAACATTTTGCATTGTAGCCAGATCGGACAAAATAATAATTGTTGGGCATTTAAATTAAAATCCCCAACCTTTATTAAGATTAAAAATTATTATATTTATATCCGTTTAACACATGGAACCACTATTTAAATACTTTTTTGTAATTTTGTGATAAATTAAAAGAATAAATAGGAAAGAAAAAGGTTTTTTAATATTTAATACTTAATCAAAAGAATAAATATATTAGCTCTCAATTAATAATCGTTTTTTTTTTTATAATTTTTAATAGAAAATTAATACTCTAAGCAAGGCATCACAATAGATTTCATCACATACATACATTTAAATTTAGCTTTTCCTTTAATTTTCATGGTTTACCAATTTTTGTTAGTGATCTTCAATAGCGGTGATCTTTCAAATCTCTCTGTTCACATATTATTCTTGGTAGGATTTCAATCTGGCCGTCCCTCTTTTTTCAATTCAGACCTCCTGAACTTTGACAGTTGCCTGAGTTCAGGAGGTTTGTGCCATTTTACACACACACTCTTTTGTAACCCAAACCTGTTTATTGTGGGCGAGGGGATGACGAGGAAAGACGAAGGGACCGTGCCACTCGTGTTCGGTTGGAACGCTTTGTGTTCTTGTTCGTAACAGCTCGCTGCTACCCTTTTCAGCATTCCTTTTCACTTTCAAATTCTTTTAATGGTTGCAAGAGCGCTCGGTTTCAAATGAATATATACCATTCGTTCAGAAATTTGAATTCTGCTATCTATTTTTTGTATGTAATATGCAAATATGTATGCATAGAAAAATAGAAATATTTTGAAAAATTGTAAATAAGGATAAAATTAAGATGTCAAAAATATTCAATTTAAATTTTTAATAACATATAGCGGTATATAATGTAATAATATACGAGTATACATAAAATAATTATAATAAAAATGGTAACTTTACTGATTTATATTTCATAAAATATTAAGATGCTGTCATATTTATTTCTTTTAACCACAAAGGATTTAGTTCGAATATCATTTTATTTAAAACAAGAATTGTAATTAATTCAAGGATGTTTTATAATAAATAGACAAAAATATGGAGTAAAGAAATGATGAATTTTGGATACTTAAAGATTAGGAAATTCCTGTTCTAAATTTGGCATTGAAAATATTAGTAGCGGGTATTCAATACATTCTGGTGGATTAGGGAATTCCCGTCTTAAGTATTTCTTTGAAACTATTGAGCGGGTATTATGCATATTGTTCTACCACATTCATGCTAGTTCATTGCAAGTAAAATGTGGGACCACCATCCCAACATACAAATGAACTATGCAACACTCTCTAAGTGTCGCGTAGCCGAACCGCATAAACATTTGCGAAAATTTTATGAAGAGGATTGACAGAAAATTCGGTTCGAGTTGCTGGACTCTTTTTGCTCGTGTGAATGCACAGAGCGACCCCAAAAGAGAAGTTGCCGATAAAGAGGGTCAAAAGAGTCCCAATGTATTAGCTTAAATACAATACGGGCGACGACGAATATTCGTCGTACTTGGCGACGCCGTTGGACGGATTTTCGCCGAGTGTTACCGTCATGTAAAACACAATACGGACGAATTTCATCGCAGCTAGTGTATATTCAGCGCTCAAAAATATCCCAATAAATGACGAAACCAAACATAAACAATCTTAATATTGCAACGCAGACATTTTCTTAAATTTTTTTTGAAAATCCTTAATATTTTTACTGAAAATATTCTTTCTTTGATATGGTGATGCCTTTTTTGCCGCCGCGGTCGGCGATAAAATTAGAAATAGCTCTATCTCAAAAATCGTCATGGTGGGCGAAATTCGCGGCATCGTCGAGTACGACGAATATTCGCTATCGCCCGTATTGTGTTTATGCTATAAAAGCACACTTTCGACATTTAGCAAGTGCTTTATCATTTAAAGTGAGAGATGAGTTGGAGTTTTATCTATGACGTATACGATCACTTACGCTCTTTTAGCATATGCGCATCCCTGGTTATGATTGTGACATTGTTATGAATTGAAACAGAACTAAGATTTTAATGAAAAATCATCCAGATTTATACCGATAAATTCGAAAAAATACCAATATAATATAAATAATAATATTGCTCTTTTGGTATTCGTTTATAATTTTGTTCTTGTAACATATCTTTGTATTAGAATTGTGATTTCGATACCAGTATATAGTACTATTGTAAAATATTTAGTTTACAACTTCAAAGCAAGACTTCTTCTGGAATATTTAAATAGCAAATGGAAAGGTTGTAGAAACTAAAATATGAATAACTGTATTGATTTCCGTTGCTGTGTTTAACATCATAGATGTCTCGAAATACACTGCCCTTCATCAGGTTAGCACACTTTAAGTTTAAATAATTTTGCTTAATTTCTATCAAAACTAAAGATTCTACAATTCTAAAATTATTACCGACTATTTAAGAATCATTTTTCTAGTAAATAAAAAAACAGTTGGTGTTTCACCTTTTTTCAATGTTCCTTAAAAATATTTTTTCGAAATGCATCATCTTGTCTGTGTGTAGAACCCAGTGAACATGGTAATCTTATAATATTAGGTAAGAGAGCTCTACTAAAACGTTGTGGTGGTTCTGCCAATCACTTAAAGCGATTTCTTCCGTAGTAAGAAGTACTTTCAAAAACCCCAATATTGTTTGTTTCAAACTCGTTGGTTTCAAAACTGTTAACTTCTGAAATAAATGTTGCGATCATTCCCTCTTCATTATCCATTTCGGATATTTCAGAGTTACTGTCATTGCAACTTTTAGTGAAAAAATTAGGATCAACGATTTCGTCATCAAAAATGCTTGTATCGTCATAAATTTCGTCATCATATAATTCATTGTCTTCTTCCAATACTCTACTAATATCCTGTGTGTTTAGATCTGTAGAATGTGCCATTTTTCCTTATGTAATTAAAAGTGCACATTAAAAATACTGAAATGTTCGTCTGTACTTCCCATTTTAAAATATTTTTCTATTTGAAATTACGCTCAAATAGAAGTGTAGTAATTTTTTTTCTATGAATATTTCCACGTACTAATCCCACAAAAAACGACTTGTGGTAAATTTTACAACACTACTCTAATTTCTCTGCGTTACAGTGCCACAAACAGAGATAAAGAGATGCTCAACTCATCTCTCACTGGAAATGAGAGAGCAATAGCTAAACGTCAAAACCTCCTGTACTCAGGCAACTGTAAAAGTTCAGGAGGTCTGACCTTTAGCATTTGGAAAAAGAGGCATGGCCAGATTGAAATTCTGCAGAAAAATATGTGATAGGATTTGTTGCTGCTGTTGAAGATCACTAACAAAAATTGGAAAACCATGAAAATGAAAGAAAACGCGAAATTGAAATGTATGTGATGAAATCATTTGTGATGCCATGCTTAGTAGTATTAATTTTCAATTGAAAATTTTAAAAAACATTTCATGATTGAGAACTAATACATTTATTCTTTTGACTAAGTATTGAAAGATCAAAAATCAATTGTTTTAATATATTACAAAATCAGAAAAAAGGGTTTAAATAGTTTCTGCATATGTTTATCGGATCCATGTATAATAATATTTAATCTTTATAAATGTTGCATATTTTAATTTAAATTCCCAAAAATTATTATTTTGTCCGATCTGGCTACAAGGGAAAATGTTATAAAAACCTAATTTTGAGGCGCTCTCACACTGGAATAAGTTGGGCATTCCTTTATCCCTGACCACAAGGGAAACCATACTAAAATAATAATATATATACTAAATAAATAAATAAAGAGTGTAAAATATATTACCACGTCGCATGTTTAAGGTTAATATTCTTTAACATTTTCATGCAAGAACATATTTTTCAACTTATGTATTATGTTTGTAACGCACAAAAAGAAACGTCGGAGACCCTATGAAGTATATATGTATGTATAAATGATCAGGGTGACGAGCAGAATCGATTTTGCATTGTTCGTCTCTCTGTCTGTCCATCTCTCTGTATATACGTGAACAAG